GGCTGTGGAGACTCAGGTGCTGCATGGTTCAACCATCACTTCCTCACCCCTTCATTTGCCTCCTCCTTTTCTCCCTCCTCTCCTCCAGCACCTGACCATCCACCTCCACCTTCACTTCCTTCTCCTCCCCTATGACTTGTGGAGAAGTTATGAATGCATATCAATCAGAATATCATTTGGTGGCTTTGGGCTGACTGTCCTTGTTGTGTTTCAGCATCCAGGTTCAATACATGCGCGGTGGAGCATGGCCGCAGAATCAGAAGTCATCAGTGAGTAGGAGGATTTGTCTGTTTGGAGAAAACGAGTTGAATATGGTAAGTAAAGCAGTTGTATTTTTGGAGCCAGCATTCAATTAAATTCTCCAAATCAAAGCACCAAATCACAACATACATTATCTCAGGGCACTTTACTTTGGTTTTCAGTCAAGTGTAGAACAGGACTAACAGCAGCAAAATAAAAGTCATTAAATGAAAAAAAAAATCTATATACATTTTGTACCACTGGCCTGATTTAATAATTAATTCAAACAGCTTTACACATTAATTAATGGGCTCAAGTACATTTAAGTCTAACATGTTTGAGTATAAATATTATGATGTACTTTAAAATGTGTTTCCTGAAGTTGTCAGGTTTTAAAAAATGGAGAGGTTTAGAAGAGGGTTAAGACTTGGCTGTCAAGATTTATGGAGAAGAGGACAAGATAGTTGCTCCTGGAACAGCCCCATGTCGGAAACCTTGGCACGGAAATAACATTTAATGACCCGACTGTTAAGGAAAAGATGTTACTGTGAAGTATGAAAATGAGAAGGATGAAAATAAGAGGGAAAGTGACTGGGAAGTGATAAAGGAAGTGAGGATGGGGACAACAGAGTCTGTCTGCAGTCTGTCTCCTGGTATAAAGTCTGCAGAAAGTCTGGTGGAGCCGATCTGTGAACACAGCAGGAGATCCTCCACAGGATTCACTGTCAGCGAGTCGAGGGGTTGATGACGTTTTTAACATCAACAACAATCTCCTGCTGCATTGTGCATGTGTGAAGGGAAACCTCCAGAGAAAGTCCAGACCCAAATTTCCAGACATCCTCTGGAGTCTGAGTCTGGATGTCTGAATATGATTTTAGAGGAAAACTTTGCAGTTATTCCCTTGATTGTCCACATGAAACAACTTACCAGTGCACATGAAGTTGAACCTTTAGCCAAGAAACTGTTATGACTGATTTTATGTTCATGGACATTTTAGATCATGAACACTAATTGGTTTTTCCTTATGTTTTGGATTTCTGTTTGGTTGTTCCATTCTGAGTCCTGTTTCCTGTTTTATTTTGAAAAGATGTTCTTTGTGTGTCTCCAGCTTGATTTCCTGTCTTTGTCCTGTGTCCCTGTCCCTGTGATGGTCTGCACCTGTTCCCAATGTGTTTCACCTGTGTTCACCCTGCCTCCTTGTGTATATAAGCCTCTGTGCTTCCCTTTCTCACTTTATTTTGACATCTTGTTCATGTGGTTCCTTGTTTATTGTTGTGTTTTCCAGCCGTTTCTTGTTTCTTGTGTTCCTCTGTGTTTATTTTATTATTTGAGCTTTCTTTTATTTGGAACATGATTTGTTTTTGTACCTCTTGTTAATTTATATTAATACGTGTTGGTATTAAAGGACACTTTCTGTTATTTACCTTCACCTGGCTCCTGCTTTTAGGTCCTCCTGCTTTCCTCATTCCTGACAGAAATTCAACTGAAGCACTTTCTGAAGAATGAAATCCAGAACAGTATTGTCCAGAGTGTGGCTGTGAGTCCATAAGACGTCTTACAATATCTTAAATAATCACATGTTGTAATAAAAGGCCCTAAAAAGTACTAATTTTGTTCTAAATATAAATTGGCTGCAGTTAAAGACTTTTAACCAGGTATAGTGAGAATTTCCAGTATGAACACCATGTCGCTATTTTTACCCCCTCTGTGCATTTAGCTCATGCAGTGTTTCTGGAAATGATTAATTAATGGGCAGCAAAGTTTTGCCTATTTGAGTCAAACTGTCTGTTTACACCCTGGATTTCCTCATCATATTGTAACCCTTCCTTTCTTTTGATTTATCAATCAGTCAATACATTTTCTCTGCCAGTGCGATGGCTCTTGGGTCAGATTTCAAGTTTGGTGTTTAATGTTATTAACATCAACTCTTGGATTTATTTTACTTTTATTCATACACGTCCTGATACAGTGTGCTGGACTGTCATCTATTGTTGTGCATTTCAATTGAGCAACTGCATATTCATGAAAACCTACAAAAGATTAGGAATTGTGGCTGAAATGCTAACATCTGATCAAACCACAAAAACAAAACTGAATTGCTGTGACTTGTTGTTGTGTCAGAAACACTTAAAGCCCCAGAACATCTGAATGGATTTCAGTCGAGCCATGATCCATGCAGTAGTTCAGGCACTAAACATCATCAGTGTACAGGAACACCTGCTCCAGTCGATGCAGCTGAATGTTACTCACCTCTGTGATGCTCAGAGGCTGAATTTGAAGTGGTCCTATGTCCAGTGGAAACAGGAGAAAAAGCACCTTTCTCATTGTGCTGTATTATCCTCCTTCAGATCTTAACAAAAACAAGTTGTATGGTGCACATTACCATTCGCCACTTGCACCACTGGTGTCCGGAACACGGCTCAGCCATGCTTGATGCCAGACACAAAGGACAAGATCAAGTGTTGTCCGTGGTCTCGTTTTTCACCTATTTCATTTATTATATTTTCCATTTTGATGTTAAGTTTTATTATCACCAAGATTCCATCCTTTCCATACGTCCTCAATGCAAAAGGATGAAAAGCTACTGAACCACAAATGCACACAAAGTGTGTAAATGAAACATTTTGGCATGTAATTTGGCATCAGCCCCTGCTACCAGTATAGAACGCTGTGGATAATAAATGACAGGTGTTACTGACTCTGTTGTCTTTGCCAACAGCTGTTTTGCAGTTAAATTCTGTATTTTAAAATGACACAACTTCTGACATGCGTAGGAGATGAGCCATGATTCAAGCAATCTGTGACAATTCTAYAACTAACAACCAAATGCTTGTGTTTACGCCTGCATGTGTAGTGTACGTGAGCGCTCATGTGATGTGTGCATTTTCAGGAGTGTTAGTAAAGAGCATCTTGTCTCTGTATCACTTTTAATCCCTGTCCATTATAACACACCTGAAAATACATTTCACATSAATGCTCACTCAGGCCTGAATTTGTTGTTGACTTAGAATAATGATGGTCGTCTGAGGCCAAATACAATCTAAACATTTTATTTACAAACTGTAACAGACAACAATTATTCAAGATATTAAAATGTAAA